GTGGAAAGTGCCCACTCCGGGGGGACTGCGTGTGTCCCGGCCCAGATCGGTGAAGGAGGAGCTGAGGCTGTCGAGGTCTACGGGAACGCACAGGGCAGCGACAACTCTCGGCCTTGGCTTCCAGGATTTGACACCGTCGGACTTCCACCACTGGAAGATTGGAGGAACGGGCTCCGCCACCTTGTTTGACCCGGAGCCGGCCTGCCGTGTGGGTACTGCGTCAGGGTCTCCGAGAGGACGGAAAATATGTGCAGAATTTGCTGTTAGAGACAGAATTGAACGCTAGTCTGTGTGTAGGTTCTGACCAGACGAGCCTGAGTTAATATTAACAGACTCTCTTGGGCAAAGTACTGATAGTGGCCAAAGGCCTTTCCGTCTGACCATCTTCAGAGAACCAGAGCTGCTGTGAAGACAATTCCTCTGCACTCTGCCCGCTGCCACGTTCTCAGGTCCTACTCTGAGGTCCGTCAAAAGGATGAGATCTGTTTTGTCTTGATGGCTTTAGCAAAAATCCATTCGCTGCTAAGACAACTGCCTGATATTACGGACAGATCGACTGTTTTTCTGGTAAAATAGGCTAAAGCTGTTGTTACTGACCTTTTAAAGTATTTTGATCATCACATGAAGTCTTTCAAATTCACAAAAAAAAAAAAACAAAAACAAAAACAACAAAAAAAAAACCCATAGTGCATCCTTAGCCATGTTGATTTAGGACATTGTGTGGTCACTGTTAGGGTAGGTGACATAATAAACTGGAAGAACCATTGTGTTCCCCAAAGGTGTGATTATCTGGCAAGTATGTCTTTGGGCTATACTAAAAGCTTAACAGTGATCCTTAACTCATATCCAGCAAGTGTGAGGAGTTTGCATGCACCTTCTGATAGGTGAGAGTACACAGTAAAAATATGGGCATTTTTAGAGAATCTCCTGTTCTATGCCTACAACTACTACAATCCATGTATCTACTTTAGATTATTTCAATTTTAGGTTATGCTTGGTAACAAATACTGAGCCAGTACCTATACAGATGCTAACTTTAATTCTCACTATTAAATACACAGCAGGTAGTAGCAAAGAACCAAGCCATGAAGAAAATGACAGTTGATTACCTAAAATACCTTCTGTTTTCACTACCATGGCTACAATATTTGATGAGTTAAATCTGTCACACTGTTATTTAAATTAGTATGTCTAAAAATCATAAGTTCGATTTTCCTTTTCATGATCTGACAGTAGGAAGTTGCTTTATGAATTAAAACTATAAACACAAGCCCAGTGTGGTAGCACATACCAGCCATCCCTGCCCTTGAGAGGACAAGGCAGGGAGTTTACCATAAATTGAAAACCACATGGAATTGCACAGACCCTTTATTTTTTTTTTTTAATTTTTATTTAATGTGTATTTAGTGTGAAGGTATCAGATCCCTTGAAATTGGCATTACAGACAGTTGTGAGCTGCCATGCAGGTGCTGGGAATTGAACCCTAAAGGAAGAGCAGACAGCGCTCTTAACCACTGAGCCGTATCTCCAGCCCAGACCCTTTCTTAAATTAGTAATAAAATAAACATCAGGGATTTTTTTTTGTTTTATTTAAATAAATATGTTATAATGTAAGCTCCTTTAGGCCAGGACTTTGTGTTCCTGGCACCTATCCCTGACACATTAGAGCTCAGTAAATCATTATTGAGTGATCTGAAAAATATTCAAATAAGAGGGAGTTTTGCCCACTAATTCTGATTTTATTAATTCATTAGCTTGCTTTTAGGGCTTTAGAAATTGGAAAAGGGAAAAAAAACTGTATACTTTGTCCTTTTTTTGTAACTGTCAAAGAGATAAACTTAGTAAGACTACAGAAAAGTATGGAGGGCTAAGGATATAGTGGAACACTTGGCCTAGCAGGCTCAAAGCCCAGGGTTCAGTCTCCAGAACCGCAAAAAAAAAAAAAAAAAAAAAAATACCATAAAAATAAGAAAACTGCCAGGTGTGGTGACACATCCCAGCACTCAGAGGCAGAGGTAGGTAGATCTCAGTGAGTTTCAAGCCAGCCTGTCCTATACAGTGACACCCTGTCTCAAAAAAAAAATAAAGAAAAAAGAAAAAGCAGTTATTAACAAAAAGCAACAGAGCAAATGAGACATGTACGTTAAGTCATAGGATAACCACTCTGCCTTCTCTGGCTGCTCCAGCAGATAAACTGTGAGGTGCTGGTACTGTGACACAGCAGAAAAATCAATCAGCTTTCCTAGTCATGCTTAATTTACATATTGTAATCGTATTGGTTAAATTTCAGGTCTTACTTTTTAATTGGAAATATAATCTGTTGTAATTGTAGTCAGCAGATACAAAATCATCTTGACACTAAATTAGCCATCAAGTTAAGTCGAAGTTAACAAAACACATTGAATAACTAGTATATTTACATTTAAAAAATACATTTTGAGAGTTGGGGTATGGCTCAGTCCAATACTTACCCAGCACAGTTGAAGTTCTGGTTCAATGTCCAGCACCACAAAAAATATAGTATATAATTTGAAGACAACTACTTTAAACAGCAAAACTGTATCAGGAGGCTCCACCAGTTCTAAACTACACAAATAAATTAGACTGCTAGTAAATACCAATTAAACACCCTGACCAGTAGCTATTTCTGATCTGTACTCGAAACTAGAAAAACAAATTTTTATTGATTCTTATCCCCTACTACCACACACACACAGGTCTAACCTGGCCTCAAACTCACTCGAGCTCAGACCGGCCTTTACCTCCTGTTCTCCTGTCTCCATCTTCCAAATCCCAGGATTCCAGACAAGTTTGTATCAGCACAGCTGGCCAGTATTATGCCTATATTAAAAGATACACATTGGTGGCACTCCCCATTAATTCCAGTACTTGGGGGCAGAGGGGTCTGTATGATTTTGAGACCAGCATAGACTACATAGACGCGATCTCAAAAAACAAATACACACACACACACACACACACATTGAGCTGGGTGCAGTGGCTCACACCTGGAATCCTAGCTTTCAAGGAGGCAGAGGCAAGTGGATCTCTGTGACTTTGAGGCCAGCCTAGTCTACAGAATTGAGTTCCAGGACAGAGGAAGCCTGACTCAAAACCACTTCCCTCCCTCCCTCCCCAAAATATTGAACAGCAGAACTGAAAACTAAAGATCTTAGGTTTTTTAGATCTTTTAGACTTAACAGCTGTTTCAGAGGTCTGTTTTAAGTTTTAAGTTATTCTAGTTATCAGCCGACTATTAAACCTTAATGTAGGGGTTGGGGATTTAGCTCAGTGGTAGAGTGCTTGCCTAGCAAGTGCAAGGCCCTGGGTTTGGTCCTCAGCTGTGGGGAGGGAGGGGTAGACAAAAGAAACCTTAATATAACCCCAGTTTTATTAGACTAGGTACTTGAAGACTTTCATTTTTCTCTAATTTTCTTGATTCTTTTTCCCACAATTGAGGCTGCCTTATCTGGTCCCTTCTTGTTTCTCCAGCTTACAGGCCACACTCTCCTTTTGTTCCCTCCCAACTTACAACTTTTGCTGACAGATTTGTCATACAATGAATACTTTCTGCTGTCTACCCCAGATACATGTATCATCCATCTCAGCACTGCCTCAAAAATAGCCATCTGTGAAGAAAACTTTTGTTTCCTTCTTAGATTGGTTCTTGGTTTGACACTTGTAACACTCCATAGGTGTTTTCTTTTTCCTACGAGTTAATACTTATATTTGTTTAATTTGTTTCCCTTTACTAGACCTCAAGCTCTAAGATACTAAAAATTTATCTTTTTATTTTGAGACAGGATCTATGCAGCCCAGGCTGGCCTTGAGCTCTAGCCCCTGTCACAGCCCGCTGAATGCTATGATTACAGGGTGCATACCTATATCCCTAGCACAGAGTACGCTACAATGACACAGCTAAAACTTGTACAGCTGGGTTAAGGGTGCACAGTTACAATCCTAGCACTTGAAACTGAAGCTGGATGGTCATAAATTCCAGACCAGTTCCTGCTACAGAGAGAGTTCGAAGCTAGTGTGGACTACATAGTAAGATCCTGAATCAAAGCTTAGTCTTTGAGGAAGAAAAAGTGAAATGTATCAGGTACCTGAAAAAAAAAAAAAAAAAACAACTTGTTTTAATTACTATATACAGAAATCACGTCATCCAATTCAATCTTTTATTTCACTTAACTGTTTCCTGGCTTTAAATATATCTGGTTTTAAACACTTGCTTCTTACTCCTATACTTTTAATAGAGATGAGCAGAAAGGCACTGAAGGAGCAGGATGGATGGTTCAGCAGTTAAGAACACTAAATGCTCTTGCAGAGGCCTCAGGTACCTGCACTGTGCTTATGTGTTTCAAGACAGGGTTTCTCTGTGTAGCCTTGTCCTGGACTCCCACTGTAGCCCAGGCTGGCCTCGAACTCAGCGATCCACCTGCCTCTGCCTCCCAAGTGCTGGAATCACAGGCGTGCACCGCCCAGCTCACATGGTCCTTTACAACCATTCGTGACTCCAGGTTTCAGATCTAATGCCCTCTTAACCTTTTTAGGCACCATGCATGCTTATTATGTATATGTATACCCGAAGGAAAACACATCACAGATAAGAAATGAATACATCTAAAGCAAAGAAAAAAAATAGACAGAAAAATCCACAATTTGCTGGGCATGGTGGCACATGCTTTTGATCCCAGCACTCAGGAGGCAAAGGATGGCAGAACTCTTTGAGTTTGAGGCCAACATGGCCAAAATATTGAGTTCAATGTCTGCCAGGAATACAAACTGAGACTACCAACTTAAAAAAAAAAAAAAAAAAAAAAGGAAAAAGAGGAGCTGGAAAAAAAAATGTAGTAGTTGCTGTTCTTCAGATGACCCAGGTTCAATTCCTAGCACCCATATGGCAGCTCACAGTCATTTGTAACACCCCTCTTCTGACTTCTGTGGGCACTGCACACATGTGAGGCATATACATGCCAGCAAAAATATACATACACATAAACTTTTAACTGATAATTCATGTTAATGTAATGTCACATAACACAAACATTATGATCATATCACATATTCCCAGAAACAATCACAGATACAGCGCCACCCTCCGCTTTCCAATTTCAAAACTATCGACAAGTGGGTGTGGTGTGTCATGCCTGAAATCCCAGCTCCAGGCTGAGGTAGGAGTGCCACTGCGACTTCCAGACAACGGCCCTGCGAAGGAGTTCTTTAAGATGCTGGCATTTTATAAGTTCCAGTGAGTCACAAGACTTTCTCTCTCTTTTTTATTCCCACTGAGGGTCTCTACATAGCCCTGGGTATCCTGTAACTCAACAGGCAGAGCAGGCTGACTTCAAACTCACATAGATCTGTCTCTACCGCCCACGTTATGGGATTAAAGCTTTGTGGCACTTTTGTTGGTTTGTTTTATAATGTTGAAATGTATTAAACACCCAAGTACAGGTACAGCAAGAGTCTTCCTTGAAAAAGGTAAAGTTTGATGTCTGTCATACGGGACTGAAGCTTAATAATAAAATACTGGTAAGACTGGGCTGCTAGGAATACAGTTCCTTCACACTTATCTTCTCCACTAAAACAAGGCTCTTCAAATACTTACTCCCTACCCATTTGTCACCAAAACTTTATGGTTTTACCTTGTAAATCAAGTACATATACAAGTAAACAGTTCATAAACATATAAATAACCAGTACAACTAAGGTCCACAAAGCACCGCTATGTAATGTATCTATCATCAGGTTAATCAGACCAGTTGTTATATTTGACATTAAGAAAAAAAAAAAGCTGGTTTCTGTTCAGAGCTTTGATTAAACAAAGACTGGGTTTTTTCTGTTCAGCTTCTAGGATTAGAGATTCAGAATGCTTTTTATTTGTAGTAGGGAACTGTATAAGTTTCCAAGAACATGGTACTAGAGCCCCTTTAATTAGAAATTTGGCAAAACTCAAAATTATATCACTCAGTAACAGACAACTAAGAAGCATCAGGCTGGAAGCAACCACCCACAGACAAAAGGCTAAATTGGCCATTCTTCGAGATACTGCTTCTATATTTACTTGAACTATATAAAGAGAGATGAAGATGCTAACAGCCGCTGAGAAAACCCAGCAAGTAACTTTTATCCAGTCTCTGATACATACTCTGTTCTTAAGCACATACAACCCTGTTTGCACACCAGCCATGTGTATTGTCACATAGCCCAAAGTAGAAATTATTCCCTCTCGGTTGGCATTTAATAAGCCAACTCTTGTGCCGCTACCATCGGTGCCATTCAAAATTATCCTCTTAAGTGGAGTAAAGTCAAGGGCTAGCTGGTATACCACAATAATGCTGACAGCCACAATCCAGGACTTATTTAAAGGAAACATAGTCAAAAGTAGTGATGTTATTAATCTCACAACTATGATGGTAAAGAAAAAATTCCAGTGAACTCCATACTCAGTTAAATGTTCCTGGTATCCTATGGATTTTATAACGACTAACCGTCCCATTCCTAAGAAGACTAATGGCCAGACAGAATACAGCGATCTTCTAAGATAATTAAATCTAGACCCTTCTATATATTTCCTTCTACCCTCCGGACAAACCATTGCAGCCCCAAAAATAAAGCCACCTACTCCAAAATCCATTGCTCCTGTCCCATAAAGCTCAGTCTTGGCAAATCTTCTAGGGAAAAGTGGGAAATCCACAGCCAAAATGGCAATGGCAGTAAACACACTGATGGTGACCCGGTAATAGGTAATGGCTGGATTGTACTCTGACTCTAGGCTGAGTTTCAGGAAGTTTGCAAAGACTTTCTGGATAGGTACTTTGGCATAGCAAGTCCTCCTCTGGTATATCTGATACAACAACCAGGCCACACAGGCAATTACAGTGAGACTTCCAAGGAGGATGAACGAGGACAACACAGTAAAAGTGATCACTAGGGGGACTATAAGGACAGCGAAGTCCAGGAAGAATCGTGTGCTCCAGGTGTGTGAGAAAGAGCACAAGTGCTGTGAGAGAATGATCAGAAGGCCTCTGCACAGGATACACCATGCAGGAAAGCACAAGCCCTGAGTCACTTCCAGCACACTGGTTCCATTGAGGTTACTGACAAACGCTTCCTTCATCTGCTTTTGAGACATTTTTTTTTCTTCCTGTGAAAACAAGAAAAGAATAGATTTGAAGAAGACAACATTGTTGTGAAGTCAGTAAATATCTACGTATCTAACTTGAATTTACATATTTCTCAGTCTCAGAACATAAGTTTACAGGCTGGAGAGATGGCTCAGGGGTTAAGTGCACTGGCTGCTCTTCCAGAGGACCCAGGTTCAATTCCCAGCAACCACATGGCAGCCCTCACCTGTCTGTAACTCCAGTTCCAAGGGATCAGACACCTTTGTACAGACATACAGGTGGGCAGAAGTTCAGGCCCTAGTGGTTTATATTGAGGGGCAGAACTCCTGACTCTCATAAAACCTAAGATTATGGGGAGAAGTCACATTGATACATTAACAGAAGGGTATGAAATTTCTAGCACCAAGTTTTATCTTCAGTATCAGGCAAACTCAAAACAAAAGTAAATTTGGAAGCTGGGTGTGGTAAAGCATGCATATAATCACACATGGGAAGAGGCAAACTGGTCCTAGCTTATATACCAGCCAACCTTGTCTTTTTGTTTGTTTTCTCAAGACAGAGTTTCTCGGTGTAGCCCTGACTGTCCTGGAACTTGCTGTGTATAACAGACTGGCCCTCAACTCAGATCTCTGTCTCCAGAGCACTGGGATTAAAGGTATAAGCCATCACAATCCAGCTTTTTCTTTTTCTTTTTCTTTTTTTAAAAGACAGGGTCTCACTGTGGATCCTAGAACCTAGTATGTAGATCAGTCTGGCCTTGAACTCACAGAGATCCACCTACCTCTGCCCCCTCCTCCACCAAATGCTTAGATTAAAGGCATGTGCTACCAGATGTAGCCATACCTAATCTTAAAAACTAGTAAGAAAGTAAATTTGGAATATGAATACAAAAAGCATCACATTAAGAATTTTCTTTTTTGTTGTTTTTTTGGTTTGGTTTGGTTTGGTTTTTCGAGACAGAGTTTCACTGTGTAGCCTTGGCTGTCCTGGACTCATTTTGCAGACCAGGCTGGTTTCAAATTCACAGAGATCCGCCTGCCTCTGCCTCCCTGAGTTCTGGGATTACAGGCGTGTGCCACCAGGCCGGCTACAGTAAAGAATTTGTATTACCAAGCACAATCCATATTTCCTCTTTCCATTATACAATTATACATAATATTATTATTAATTGTATATCATGATATATACACTGATATATATTATGAAAGCTGCATATACATTGCTAATAACTTTAAAATGAAACTTCAGGGAGGAAGAGAAGTTGTAATTGTATTTTAGAGTTAAGGTCCCCAGTTTCCGTTCACAGCCTCAAAGACTACTACGACAGGTACATACAGATGAATGCATGAGCCCCATATTGCTCTTTTCCTCGTTTACACACATACTTTCAGATTAAGGTGCAGGTGGACACAACGGATGCAGAGTACCTACCAGCGCAGTGGCTTCTTTTTATGGAACCTAAACTCTCCTCTGTCACATTCTAATGTCTGAGAAGTTGCTCGCTGAGAGAAGACAGGCGTCGGTCAGGTGAGCGCCACAGTAAATAACGTCCCTGAAGGTGAGACCCCGCCTCAGCATCTCACCGCCAGTGGCCCTGCTCCTTTGACCGTTAAATCTTTTTCCTGACAAACCTCGCCTCAAGCACGCCCTGCCCCACCACTGTGGGTGTTCGGGGTTGACAGACGAGCTCCCACCTCTCCTGCCGGCACCCTCTGCTTCCGCCTCGCGGGCAGCGCTTCCGGCCGTCGCGGCGCAGCCTGTTCTTCCGGGCCCGCAGATTCCGCGCGCCCCGCCCGGGATGGCGACAGTCCCCGCCCCGCCGCCTCCCCACGCCCCTTCAGTGTGTGGGGCCGGGTTCGTCGCGACCCTCTCGAGAGCTAGGTGTGTGGCGGGTCCGTGGAAGGGGCGCCCCACCTCGAACCCACGGCCGGGCGGGTCAGGGAAGAGGGTCCGCGGCGCCCGCGTTAAGCCTCGGCCACGGCGACCTGCAGCAGACCGGCCCCCGGGAGCCGCGATCTCCCACCCCGATCTCGGGAGGCCACAGAAACACCATAACTAACCCCCAGTCTCGGAACACCTCGCCCGTAGCCCGCGCGGCCCGCGCCGGGCCACGTGCGCCCCGCGCCGCGTGTGCACGCCCCGCCCCCGGGGAGGAGCCTGCGGGCTCCCGGCCCCTGGGCCCGAGCTGCTGCGCTCCGCAGCCCGCCCGCAGCTCCCGGCTCTCTCTCCCGGCCGCTCCCGCTTTCTCCGCTCTCTTCTCTCCCCGGCCTCTTCCAGCCGCCTCATCCTGCCCACTCGCCCTTCCAGTAGGCCTGGGCCGGGACTACGCGCTCGGGCCGAGGGACCGGTGAGTGCCACTCCCCGCCTAGATCCGAAGCCCCCCACGGCCTGAGGGCTTTAGGGAAGCCAGTGTGCCCCTCGGAGCAAATGTAGAAGGAAGCATCTTGCTTTCTAATTCAGCATTTCTCTTTTTTTACCTTCTTGTGACCCAGGAGGAGGTAGCGCAGCTCGTAGCTTTTGCCCTGGACAAGGACCTTCACGGTCAACTTTCCAGCTTGCCAGCAGGGGACCACAAGGGGGTGTTTCTGGCCGGCCGGGGCTGGACGTCTGTCCCTTTCCTTGTCCTACCCAGGGACGGAGGGAAAGGCATAAAGAAACTGCGCCCTTGACTAGGGTCACAGCCACCTTCCCGGGAAGGACGCGTTCTCCGTACCAGGTGCTTCCGGAGCGGAATCCCAGCCCTGAGCACCGCAGGCTCGTTGCCAGTGCAGCAAGGACGGGATCCCGCCAGAAATCTGTAGCAAAGCGGGCTGGGCCCCCCCAGGACCCTTGCCCAGCTCCTCTCACGGCCCTCCTGCTATCCGTCCTGTCAAGAAAGAAAGTGAAGCAGAGGCGGAGGGGAAGAGGGTGGCGATCTGGCTGCCACTTGCCTTGACTTGGTCTTTCTCCTATTCATTTACTCCCTTCTGCCTACTGTAGTCACACCCTTTCCAGAAATTCCTGGTGGTAACCGCGGGAGGAGGGGGCAGGGGCTGGGAGAACTGGAGAAAACTGCTCTGATCTGATTTGACTTCAACCGGGAGCTGACGCTGCATAGTAATAATCAGCATTCACTAAGCTCTCTCACAGGTGCTTGCCCACACGAGCCATAATTTTGCACTTTGTGGTATGGTATTATGCCACGGGTAGTTGTATAAAAATGATGCTTAGAGAGCTTCTATGATGTATTCTAGGAGGGTTGTGAGCTTTGAACTCTTATGATCTGCTGTGGTCTCCTGATTAGCCTCCCTCTCAAGATGAGCTTCCAGCTGAGTCTCCAGAGACCCTTGAGCGGCGGGGTACAGGGTAAATAAAGAGTGACGGTGTCTAGCACAGTGCCGATAACCCTTTTCTGGCTTGAATTTTCCCTTTCCCCGTTTCCATGGAGGTCCCTGGTCCTGGCTCTTTAAAGACTAGGTGTGTCTAGAGCCTCAAAGTTTCTATCAAGGTTAAACCATCTATACTATAGATGTCCCTCATCCTCATCCCTCTTGCTGGAAAGGGATTGAAGCCTGGGAAATAGTGAGTGAGTCTGAGTGAGGCTCACCATTTTTCAGATCCTGTCCTCACAGTACCCCCTCTCAGAGGAATTCATCTCTCCTGGTCTCACCTTGTTTGTTTGATACAAGGTATTACATTGTAGCCCAGACAGGCCTTAAACTCTTGAGATCCTCCTGCCTCAGCCTCTGAGTGTTGAGATTACAGGCGGGTGTTACTAATCTCAGTCTCGGGTTTTGGGCAGTGGGCATTCCCTACCAGATTAGTGTCTCCAAATAGATCACCAGCTCTATATGTAATGATAATATTCACACTTAGTGATATTCAGATTTGTACTGTGCTTTCAAACCACTGACCATCATGACCTCTCCATTGAAGGTAGATTTAACTATCTCCATTTTCAAGGTGAATTTGGGGTAATTGGATTGCCCTAGGGTCATATACCATCCAGTGACTCAACTATGATTCCCCCCTCATACAACAGCTTCCTGGGGACATCCAGAGTTGACTCCACACCCATTCTCCATTAGCTGCTGGCTGCATTTACACAGGGTATTTCTGTCTAGTGATGAAGATAGGACCAAGGCTACCCCACCCCCACCCCAGTGTCTTCATTCTCCATGGTATACTGACCCAGAAGATTTTGCAACCCCAGTCCATCACTTACCTTACAACTGCCCCTGGCCTTTTACTATAAGAGAAACATCAGGAAGTACTCCAGGCAATCTCTGGAGGCTCTCACCAAAGTTTCCTTACTTCCTAATTGGCAAGGGAAAGCACAGACTCTCACTCTCTGTCCAGGCCTGCCTGATTCTCATTTGGGCTCCTCCTGCTTGGAGGGAGGAGTAGGAGTGAGTCACCTGAGAGAAGCCTTCACCTGTTGTTTGGCCCTTGTCTTCTGTCTCACGGTACAGGTTTCAAAATGACTTGTCTGCGATTCCCACACACCTGAGTCTTCTGCTGGAGTGACGGCCTCATGATCGGGTTGATTGCCTGTGTCTGGGACACAGAACTCTGGCTGAGCACACTGAAGCAGGATGCTCCAGCAGGTAACCCACCCCTCAGCCTGAGGTAACAGCACCAGAGGCATTTTCCTGTTGCCTGTATGAATGAAGACTGGAGTGCTCATAGCTGGAAGGATGGGAAAGACCCCTTTCCTCTCTTCAGATAGTTATCCACCGCTCTTCCTGACACCCAACTTGAATGTTTCCCTTTTTGTATGTGGTTTTTTTTTGTTTGTTTTTGTTTTTGTTTTTGACTCTTTTCCTTAGAGTGGATAAGGTAAGGTGAGTAAAGGAATCCAGGTCACTTTAATGACCTTAAGCAGGAGAATATCCTGACAGAAGCCTCTGACAGACTGTGATATTGAGTCACAGTGGAAGTTTGGGGCTTCCAAGAATGTTCATTAAAGGTTAGCCTTTAAAAATAATAAAGAGGCCCGGGGTGGAGGTGGGGAGGTGAGGACCCAGCACTCGGGAGGCAGAGGCAAGTGGATCTCTGAGTTCAAGGCCAGTCTGGTCTACAGAGTGAGTTCCAGGACAGCCAGCGCTGCACAGAGAAACCGTGTCTTGAAAATAAAACAGAAGAAGAAAGAAGAGAAGGAGGAAAGAATTGGTCAAGTAAGCCAAGCATGGTAACACACACCTTTAGTCCCAGCACTTGGGAGGCACTGGCAGGGAGATCTCTGAGTTCAAGGCCAGCCTGGTCTGCATTTCAAGTTCTAGGACAGCTAGGTCTGTATATATATATAGAGAGAGAGAGAGAGAGAGAAAGAGAGAGAGAGAACCTGTCTCAAAAAAAGATTAGCCAAGTAGAGAAGGAACATGAGCAATCCAGACAAGAGGTAAGCCTGTGAAAAAATGTAGGAAGAGGTAGGTGGCTTATGTGGGAGTCCAGCATTCTACCTCTGAAAAGGCCTGCAAGAGGCGAACCACCCTTCACTGTGGAGCTCTATCTCAGATACATAGTATTCTTTATAAGAGTTCACATCCAGACACCATAATGGTAGTAGGTATTTGCTGAATTTTTACTTTACTAAATTTTGTCCCACACTAAGGAAGGGCTCCAGGAGTTTGTGTTCTGGTGAGCCCCAGCAAAATGACCAAGGTGGAACTTGCCAGGCTCAAGAAAGCCGTGCTAGATGCTACTGTACTGTCCTGCCATTTGCTGGGAAACGGACTGGAAGGCTACAGAAAAGTAGGCCGGACAGTTATCTGCTCTGGGCTGCTATGTTTTCTTTCCTCCTTTTTCCTATACCAGAAGTAATCATTTTTACCGTAGCCATACTAGTGAGTGCCCTATGTTCAGCCCTTGTTACATAATTTTTCAGAGGAAAATTATAGGTGTATGTACTATACAGTGTTATGTCTCCATACTGGAGATAAGACTCAGGTTAAATGACTGACTCAAGGTTACACTCATTATCAGGAATTTGGAAAAATAAAGGCGATCCAAAAGGACATTAAAGTTACTTAGTCATACTATCCAAACACAACATTTTAAAGAACATTTAGACTTTTTGTTTTGTTTTCAAGACAGGGTTTCTCTGTGTAGCCTTTGACTGTCCTGGAACTTGATCTGTAAACGAGGTTGGCCTGGAACTCAGAGATCCACCTCCCTCTGCCTCCCAAGTGCTTCGATCAAAGGCATGCGCCACCTTTGTGCGCCTGCACAATCTAGCTTTCTAGTCGAAGCTCTTGATTGCCATACTCAACTCCCAGTTGAGTCAAAACTGTTCCTAACTTGTAGCTGGTTGTATAAGTAGACCCTTCCTCCTTTTCTTTCTCCTCCCTCCTCTCCCTTCTCCTTCTCTTTCCTCCTGCTTTTGCCCTTCTAGATTCAGCTGTGCCAACTGCAGCAATTACCCTAGATAACAAGTGCCTGCTCTGTACATTATGATGGGTCTGAGACTCACAGTCTTTAAAAGAAACTCATTATGGTGCTGCTCAAGTGAAACATGCTACCTTCCTTGGCTTGTTCCTGAAGGGTGGAAGCATTTACAGTTCACACATCTTGTTGGAAATGCACATCATACTAAGACTTTAGCCTCCCTAAGCTGATTCCAGCCAGGCACCTGTCTTCTCTTCCCACTCCGTCCTCCATGGAAGACAGACACCAGCTTTGTAAGGCTGGCAGCCTGTAGCTTAATAGCTGCCTTGGCTGGAGCTCATAGCAGAAGAGACAGGAGGGCATTGCTTGTTAATATGTACTATCAAGGCCTT